CCCCACCCAACCCTAAAATGGTCGTTGGCTAAATTTTAAATTTCGTTGCTCAAGTTCTGAGTTCAACACATATATTCACGCGTCTGAGTTAGAGATACCATTTGATAAAATTTTCCACTAGATGAGCCTCCCTTGGTTAAATATGCTTATAGTAAATTATATATTCTCACATAACAGCTTCATTTGTAACAAACAGCAGAGGAGTTTTTATGCAGCTATACATTCAACTTCCACTGTACAGCAGAAAAAAAAAACCTTTTACTTTTCCTACACAAAGGAGGCAGTAGAACAATCTTAAAAGTGTCCACCTGCATCACAGTGACAGCTTTCCACCTGCCATCCTATGCTCAAATCTTTGGGGCAGAGGGCACTACTTGAGCTTGCCAATATGTTTTTTGCTGCATCAACTAAAATTCCAGAGTCCTATACAGAATAAATTAAACCTGACTCTTCTCAACTAGAGCAATGAAGTTGATATCATGAATTTCTTCCCAAGTCTTTCCCACTGAAATTGGCAGTACCAAATGATCCAGCTGAAGTCACCATGTCAAGATTACTACCCATGGATGTTATAAGGGCAGATAATCCAGGCGATGGACCGACACTAGCTGCCATTCCTAATCCAAGAAGGTCAAGAGTAGGATGTTTCGGACCAAACATAGAGGGAGTTCCCAACATTAGTTCCTTCAGACCAGAACCAGCGTCACACGGCAGTCCAAGACCAAGACCTGCAGCATATGACGCACCATTGGCATCAATTGGCCTCCCACTCCATTCTTGATACCCGTTAGAAGACGACGACGTGGAGGACATAACCCCAAAGCCCCTCAAGAACGATGAGCTGGTCGCTACTGCACCCATCTGAGCTGCCTTCTGCAGCAATGCTGTTGCCGACATAGCTGGTTGTGGTGCGGGAGCATATTGCCTCCGTTCTTGACCAGCTGGTCTAAAAATTGATGAACTGTGACTCATCGCTAGGCCGAGAGATATTGGTTCTGTAGATGAAGGTGGTGCCATCTCAAGAGTGCGCTCAGGCGCCATAGCTCGAAACATATCAGAAAAAACAGGAGCTTGAGATGGCAAATTTCCCGAAGCTGTTGATGATGCAAACAAGCTTCCGAAGACACCGCTGCTACTACTTCCATTACTACAAGAGTTGCTACAGTTTCCAGTCAAGCTTGCTACCGCCGCTGCTTCCTCCAGAACTTGTTTCGTAGCAGCTCCAGCAGAATTTGTGATTGGATTCTCCCGCAACTCTGCACAAATTGTAGCAACTATATAAAAAAGATAAAAAGAAGCATACTTGTTTAAGGAAGCAGAGAAAGTTAAAACTTTTCATAGAAAAAGAACATTATCTGTTGCAAAAGGACTAGGAGATCCAAATATAGTATCCTTTCTTTACAACCTTTAACTTATTTAAGCATATACTACTTATTTCTTTCTTTAGCCAACGATTTCATGACATCGAATCTTCATTTATAATTATTTATCCGATAATATTTTCTTCATTTTTTTCCTTCCTATTTTAGACCCTACTTCTGTCTACAAGATTCTGATTGATTAATAGAAAAGATAAATGATTTTGTGCAAAGAATAAATACAGATAAGAACAAAGATCAATAAATGACAAAATTAACTAGACTCCAAGATATAGAAAGAACAAAGTTATTTTGTTTGATATGTAACGAACACAAATACGACAAACATCAAACTCAGAAGAGGCACCTTGATTCTGAACAGAGGAAGCAAATGTCATTACGGCAGTTGACGGAGGAACTGTTGGGGTCATTAAAGGCTTTGGAGCTGCTGGTGGTGGTGATTGAGACTCGGTGGCAGGTGGAGGCGCCGGTGGCGTTGGCGGTGGTGGTGATGATGAAGCAACAGCTTGTGTTTTAGGCTCCTCATTAGTACTAGGAGGCTTCTCTGGCAGTGTTTTAGCACTTTCTTGAGCTAATGCGTCACAAAATGCCCTATGGGTGATAAAGCTATCCCTCCTGTACATTATTAGCAAATAAAGTTAACAACTTTATTACCAGAAAGAACTTGAATTGAGCTCGAAAAGCATACTGTTGATTTACCTTGAAAATAAAGTGCCACAATCACATTTATACTCTCTAGTTCCACAAATCTTTGAATGAGCCTTCAAATCAGACTGAACTGCATATTTCTTGGAGCATTTGTCACATTTCCACTTCTTCTCACCATGTTTACGGCAGAAATGTTTCTTGATTCCGGTCAAATCACCCAATGCCCGAGAAGGATCATGGTGAACACAACTGGATTCAGGGCAAACATACACTCTCTTCCTCACCTCATTGCTTGATCTCTGCCTCAGCTTCCATGGCAAATTATGACCTCTTCTATGAAGCTGCAAATTCTGGTCTCTTTGAAACCCTTTACTGCAAATTTCACAAACAAATCTGTTCGTGGCCATCAAAGTTGTTGGTGACAAAGCAATAACCTCTGCATCGGGATCTAATCAAAGCAACAAAAAAAATCCCAAAAAATCAAATCTTAGCTGAATTTTAGTAAAATTGGGTTCATCAAGAATTGTCATGAAACATGATTTACCTGGCATCCCAGGAAGATTTCGTTTCTTCTTGGCTGATTCTTTCAGAGGAACTGCTTGAGTACCTGAAGACGAAATGCTTGCTTCACCTGAGCCTGTAGAATCGTTCATGGCGGATGAGTTATCTGGGTCGGCCGGCATGGTTACTTCTAGGGGTTTGTTTTTGTTGGGTTGCTCAAAAAGCAAATCTTTAGAACATTTATGTTAAAAAAACCTTTTTGATATCAATCTTTTCTTGGGGAATCGATATTTTCTCTCTTTTTGCCGTATCTACCAGTCAATCTTGCTTTTTCGTTTTTTCTTTCTTTCATATACCCAACTACCAGTTTTGATCAAACCAAGCTAAAATAGCAAATCCCCATAACTTAGAATTAGCTCAAAAACCCAGATTCCATAATCACCAGAAAGTCAATCACCGGCGTGAACTTACTGCCGGAAATTAAACAAAGTCGCTAAATGGGTTTGCTTATAAGGAAAAGTAATGAAGAAAAACTCGAGTCCGGCGATGAAAATGGGAAGCGGTTAGCATAGCAAGTCGGCGGCTCGGAAATCTATAGAGAGAAAGAGAGGAAATTTAATGTGAAAACAGAGACTGCAAAAAAAAGTCTACTCAGTTTTGGGTCTTCATTCTTACTTTTCAAGAAGATGAACAAAAATAAAATAATCAATTGAAAATCACTAGTACTGAGTAGTAGCTAGTACTTGTTGTTTACAGTGAAAGTAAATAAATGTGTCCAAGAAAAAAAAAAAACTAAATTAATCATAAATGTGTCTCAATTCTGGAGGTTAAGGACGTCTACTAATATATTTTTAATATATATATTATTAGTAATATACATACAAAAAATAATACTCACTCTGTCTCTAATTACTTGTCTATTTTTAAATTCGCATACCTATTAAGAAAATAATTAATGACATAGTAAATTTATCATTTTACCCCTATTAATTATGAAGTGGATGAACAATTCTACATTTTTCAAAGTAATTAACCATTTAATTGAGGGTATAATAGGTAAAAAAAAATTGTCCTTTCCTAATTTGTCAAAATGAACAAGTAATTAAGAATAACTATAAAAGGAAAAATGCACAAATAATTAGGGACAGAGGAAGTATCTTCTAACTACTCATTCTTTATATTTGACTAAACTTTTGAGATATTACTCTATTTTGATGAACAACTGCTCAAGTCGATTTGTCTGTCTTTTTTCCCTATAGGGTTAGTCTTTAAAGCTAGGTATATTTTAATGATAATCATATGTAATTAAAAAAAAAAATTCCACTAAATATTTAGGTCAAATTAATTTTAAATCAATTATCTCTAAATTATAGAACATGAGAAAAATGATGTTAAGTTTAAATGTTTTTATTTTTATTCGATTCGATATGTGACCTGTTTTTTTGAGTGAAGGTAATGTACTACACATACAGTTGCACACCAAAAATTTGTTTTCATTATACATATAATTCTGTTATTTATGTGCTTCATTTACTATTAGATGAAATTAATTTTAAATTAAACCAAAAGCGTATATATTCTCATTCTTATATATTATTTGACTTCTATTAATCTGATACATAATTTTTAAAAAAGGTTAATTAAAAATATAATTAACTAAATTACATTTATTATTAATATTTGAAATTTTAAATTGATTTTGTTATCGTTTTCTATTTGATATAGCTATTTTAAATTAAGAATAGTATTAAAAGTTTATAATAAATTAGTTAAAATAAATAAATAAAATAAAATATCTATTTTAATACATGAATCAAGTAAAATGATTTGGAGGAGCAGTAGTGATATTAATGGCATGTCGTAGTTTCCCAAACATGCATTTTTTTCATTTATATGAGTATTCCCTTACTTGTCCTAATACTATAGACACATGTATATGTTAAAATTTGATAGAATCTTTTAACTTCTTTTTTTTAGTCTAAAAATATTTTATAGTATTAATTTTCTTTCAAGTCTAGGATTTACATTAATTGTAAAATATTTAGTTTTATTTTAGTTTTGTATCTAGAAGGATTCTCCTTTAGTTTCGTATCTAGAAGGATTCTTTTTAGAAATGATTCTCCTTAATTATTTATAAATATGGATGTATTCTTCTATTTGAATCCATACAAAGAGTTATCATTCATTCTCTCTTTAGTTTCTCTTTCTAGTTTCTTCTACTCTATAACAGTGGTATCAGAGTCTTACATCAATCTTAATAGATTTGTGAGTTCGTTGAAGAAGAACTTTCAACTACTTTTAATTCATATCTATTTTCAACCCATGCATTTTTTTTTAACGCAGTGCTACTTTTAACCAATTTTTAATCTATACTATTTTAAACCTTATTTTCAAACTATGGCAAACAATACTTTTTCTTTCAATGCCCCACAAATCTTCAATGGTGAAAATTATCAAATTTGGGCCGTTAAAATGAAGTCTTATCTTGAGGCTTATGATTTGTGGAAAGCTGTAATGGAAGACAAACCCATACAACATTCTGATGTTGAAATCAAACTTTACTCAGAAGAGAAAATCAAAAAATATAAAGTCAAAATTGTAATTCAAAATTCAGTTGCACAGTCAATCTTTTCTAAAATAATTGCATGTGAGACAACAAAAGAAGCTTGGGAAAAACTTGAGAATGAGTACAGGGAAAGTGAACGAGGCAAACAAAATCAAATTCTGAATTTGAAAAGAGATTTTGAATCTCTTAGGATGCAAGAGGGTGAGACTATCACTAATTATTCTGACAGAATTTCTTTGATTGTCAACAGAATCAGGTTGCTTGGTGAGGATTTTAAAGATAATAGAATAGTTAAAAAGATTCTTGTAACTATTCCCGAGAGATTTGAGTCTAAAATCTCTGCTTTGGAAGAGTTTAAAAATCTCTCTACCATCTCTCTTGTGGAATTGATAAGTGCTCTCCAAGCACAAGAACAAATAAGAGTTTTCAAACAAGATAAAATTGTTGAAGGTATCTTTTATGCAAACTATCAAAAAAGAAAAAAATGATTATGCTGTTGGTGGAGATCTGATTCATTATGTGGAAGTTGCAAACAAACAGGTCATGTTACAAAAGTGTGCAAGTTCAAAGACACTCAAGATAAATCACAAGCATTATTAGTAGAAGAAGAATGTGAGGATGAATTCTATTAATTGTCGCAACAAAAGTAAGTAGAAGATATTTTTAAAGAATAATTAAGTGTTCAAACTCAAGTTAGATACACCAACCTGAGTTTGAGGGGAATGTCGAAATCTGGTAGAATCTTTTTACTTTTTTTTTTAGTCTAAAAATATTTTATAGTATTTAATTTCCTTTCAAGTTTAGGGTTTACATTAATTGCAAAAAATTTAGTTTTATTTTAGTTTAGTATCTATAAGGATTCTCCTTTAGTTTAGTATCTAGAAAGATTCTTCTTTAGGAAGGATTCTCCTTAATTATTTATAAATAGGAATGTACTCTTCTATTTGAATCAATGCAAGAATCAATACAAAGAGTTATCATTCATTATCTCTTTAACTTCTCTTTCTAGTTTCTTCCATTCCAAAACAGTATATATGCTAGTACGGGCTTAATATCTTAATATTTTTTATGGGAATTTTCACAAATAATCATTATAATAAACTTAATTATGTTTTATAGTTATAGTTTGCATATTTTACGAGCTATAGCTATAATTTAAGCTGTCTTATTTGTATAATTCACGAATTTGTATAATCCACGCGTATATCTGTATAATTCAGTTATTTTTGTATAAACTCGAAATAACGAATTTATACAATTACAAACATCAGAAGTATAAACAATTATACAAATTATATTATACAAATTTCCGAATTATACGAACGTGCGAATCATACAAAATCAAAAGGTTGAGCCGCGTAATTATAGCTAAAAGTAGGTTGTGAATTGTTATTAAGGCAAACTATAGCTAGGTTAACTAATTAACTAGTATATGTTTGCGTATATGCGTAATTTTTCTGTTTTTTATTTTAATTTATGTGATATAGATAGAATTTAGAAAGTTGATTAAATTTTAATATGATTTTTAGATATTTAAGTTGTGAGGTCTATTAGGATGTCCATGATTAAAGTATTTTTCGTCATGAATCGTTCATTTTTACTCAAAGTAGTTACAAGATATAAACAAATATTACTGACATCAAAATAATATAGCTATAACTAAAGAATATGAATTTAAAACTAAAAGTCATAGCTAAACGGATTCCATAATTTTGAAAAAAGTATACACTAATTAAATTAAAGTAGAACAAAAGAAATATTTTTTTAAAATTTTTAAAGTTGAAGCAAGCACGTTGGTGTGAAGTCTTGAATTAAAAATTAAAAGTCATAGCTAAAATGAATTCCATAATTTTGAAAAATTATACACTAATTTAATTAAGTAGAACAAAAGAAATAAAAAGTTTTAATTTGTTTTTCCAAAATACGCTGAGCAGACACGTCTCCAGTCTTGAATTTAAAACTAAAAGACATAGCTAAAATGGATTTCATAATTCCAAAAAAATTATACACTAAATAAATTAAAGTAAAACAAAAGAAAATATTTTTTTTAAACACGCTAAAACAAGCATGTCAAAAAAACTATACGCTAATGTAATTAAAGTAGATAAAAAAATCTTTTAAATGTTTTTCCGAAACACGCTGAGCATGCTTCACATGAACTCTCTCTGGATTAATAAGAGAAAATAAATTTCATAACTGAAAATGAGAACAACTTACGTCATAACATTGGAAAGCAGTAATTCTCTCTTCAAAATTGTTTATCCCTTTTAATTTAGTTTTAAAAAAAGTAGTACTATTTTTTTTTGGACAGTTTCTTTTTAACTCCGACATAATTCACATAGCATGTTTAACATAATAAAATTAAAGGTTATTTTGATACATTAAACATATTTTTAACATAAAATTCAAAAAAAAAATATTATTTTCTTAAATTTTGCGTTTAATTAAATCAAGATAAATACATTAAAACGAAGATATATCAATTTTTAATCTGAATTTATTAGTATCTCATTAGAATTACCAAAGTGACCAATTTACCCAAAATACTTTGATTAAATTTTCAGCATTTAATCGGGTTATTTCTACTACCACAACTTAATTTCTTCTCCATTCATTTTCAATGATCAGTAGCCTTTCACCATCCAACTTTTTCATTATCCAAAAGAAGAATGTAAAAATGCTAAAATTTGAAATTGACTATAAACTTTCTGTCAATATTAGCAAAATAGACTTTAACTATTACTACTATTTTCTCATAAATAATAATCGATTCAATTTGTGAAAATTATATGTCTAACTCAGCCTTACTAGTTTTCATAAACAAGAATTGATTCGATTTGTAAAAAAATTATGGCTAACTCAATTTTTAAAATTAGCTAAAAGAGATTTTTTTTTTAATCAAATTATATAAAATTCCAAAATTTTCTCATCAATCGATGTGCGACTCAACACAATCCAATCATAATTAAACATTCCTAGTCCCCACTACTTGGGAAGTTCCAAATAGCAATGGTCAATTTGATAACAACTTAGGCCAAAAGTTTCTAATACAAGAAAAGAGAGCAGTTGCGTTTTGGAGCTGTTTTTGAAAATTATGTTTCATTCTTTACAAAAGTTTTACTAGAAATTGCCAAAAAAGAATCAAACAAAAGCCATAAAAAAGGAATTTGAAAATTGAAATAGATAGTAAAAATGCCGAATAAATAAATAAATATAATTTTTAGAAAATAAGAGAGAAACATTATCTATTAATTAAAAGTTGAAGGTGAAGTTTGATTCTTTAGTCTAAATTCTAGTGATAGAATCAATTAAGTTTCAAACACACAATAAGTAAGAAAAAAAATATGATTTTTTGGTTGAATTAAGGTAGATTAAAAAAAAAGGTGTATTGCCTTAATTAGGTTGAGAGAAAAAGTCAAGCTAACTTGCTTTATAATTAAATTCTAATTTCTTCCAAATTTGAAAAATTCCACGTGTCAACTTCCAGGAGTTGAAAATTTGGTACTGTAATCTTTTTTTGGTCCCAGTCCTAAATTAGTAATTGATCTTTTATTAGGATTACAATTAATCGTCTAAATGATTGTTAGCTCAACTTTGGTATAATTCGATAGGATTTACTTTACGTATGTATACACATGTTCACGTAAAAATTGGGTAACCCATATAGTTTTTTTAAAAAAACAAATAAATAATGGGAAGTATTATTTTCGTTTAGTTATATTTACTAGTATAAGCAATGATAAATAGCTTACGACACTCAAACTTATGTCAACTCAATAAATAAATAAAATATATTTTCACATATAACCCGCAGCCACTACAACATCTATCACATACTCTGTGGTGAGCACTTTGTGCGCACTGGGTAAACCCCCACTGTATAATAGCCTGCAAATCAAGGGATGTAAAACCGCACTAGGCAAGCCCTATGCGACAGGCTCGACTCAGAAGGCATTGAGGGGGGATCGATCCCGGGTCATTCGTGTGGATAACCACCCTCCAAACCAACTGAGTCATCACGAAAGACACATATACTATTATTATTATTGAGTTATAATTACTCTTTTCTTCTTTAGTTCTTCCCCTTCTCATTTCTCAAGCAATCGAAGATCAAGTTTAAATTTGATTAGATTAATTTAATATTTTCAAGTTAAATTTAGATTTTAAAAATTATATGAAAAACACTATAAATTGTAATTTTTCTTATATTAATGTGATAAAAGATATATTTTAAAATATTGATTAAAGTTTATATTATTTGACTCTCAAAATAAAAATCATGACAAGTAAAAAAAACGAATGGAATAGTAAGTTCTCACTGATCAATGAATATTTATTTTGCCTCAACTATAACTGCATTCTATTTTAATGAAGAATGATTTATAATCATCATGAAAAATCCTTGTTCCTTGTAATAATTGATAACTAGAGGTTACATATATATCATTACGAAAACCACTTTTGACTAGATAGATTTTATTTATTTATTTATTTGTTTTTATTTGATGTTCGATATTCATATTAAAATTAGTATCATATATTATTTATTTGAAAAAATACTCCTTACTAAAGATTTTTCTATAATCAAGGTTCGAAATCGAAACATTTAATTATTCGACTAGATAGATGTTAGAGGCTTTAATAAACAGTGTTTCTTCATTATCACGCCAAGGGTTGAGGTAAAGTGTCCATTTCCTCTCGATTAAGAAATTAAACAGGTAGTATATTTTTATCTGCAAAATCATTTATTCTGTTTGTTTTATTTTATGATGATACTTGTTTGGATAAAGAATTAATAGCTGAAGCTCAATATTAAAAAATAATGATCAAAAAGTTGATTTAATAGAGAAAATAATGAAAAAATTACATAAATACACAACGATAATCTCTAAAATTTCCTACCATTTAAAAGAATTAAATAAATTTGCTTTTGAATACATCCCTATCAAGTCTTGGAAAAATCTCTTCCATCAAGTAATATATCATTTACATTGTATCGGACAACCAAAGAATGTATCTGATAACAATGAAAAATTCAACTTTTTTGTAATTGAAACAACTTTCATGATATAATATAATTAGCTGAATTTCTGTACTTTATACTAAAATAATACTATGTGTAATTTTGTTTGCCTTACACTGCAAAATCAAAAAATATTAGTCACTAACATATTGTTATGATTTCATTAATAACACAATGTTCCCTTTAAATGATTTGGTATTTAATTTTTTCCCTTCAAACAAGTTAAATCTTTAATTTTCTCCCTTCACAATCAATTTACACTTAGCTGTGCATTCTTTAAGAGTAGGGCATAATTTTTTCTTTGTTCCTTTTATTTTCCTAAGTGTTGGAGAAACAGCTATTTGCCAGTGGACATGTTACATTTACTCATTTAGTCAAACAATTGATTTGTCACACTTCAAATAAAGAGGCTCAGCTGACACAAAAGATTAAAACATCTACACAAATGTCGATTTAGCACTTTATTGAGGAGGACAATAACAAAATATAGATATTCAATAAATTTCATCTAATCTAAAAATTATTCACTTTTTTCCTATTCAAGTCACTTAATTTTTCCCTTTTTAAGTCAAAATTATTTCTTCTCCTTATATTGGTCTTTGTTAAATT